AATTATATCAAAATGCTAAAAAAAAACAAAAAACTAAAGAACTAGCGTGACAGAAAGCAACCCATTGAATAATAATAATAAAACGTAATATTTAATATCTCAAGTTAAAGGACCACTCTAGGCACCCAGACCACTTCAGCTTAATGAAGTGGTCTGGGTGCCAGGTCCAGCTAGGGTTAACCCATTTTTTTTTTTTTTTTTATAAACATAGCAGTTTCAGAGAAAGGGAGGAGAGGAGGAGGATCGGAGGCGGAGAGCTCCCCGCCCAGCGATGGGGAAGGTAAGTTTTAACCCCTTTCCTCTCTCCAGAGCCGGGCAGGAGGGGGACCCTGAGGGTGGGGGCAGCCTCAGGGCACTATAGTGCCAGGAAAACGAGTATGTATAGTGAGGGAGACAAAATGATCTATAAGATTAGGCAGAAAGAGGCTAAGCAAGTTATAAGAGCTTCCAAATCACACACAGAAGAGAAAATAGCACAGTCAGTAAAAAAGGGGGATAAAACATTTTTAGATACATAAATGAGAAAAGAAAAGTAAAACAAGGATTAGTTAGATTAAAAACAAAAGAAGGAAGGTATGTAGAAGAGGATAAAGGTCAGGCTGACTGCCTCAATGAATATTTTTGTTCTGTATTTACAGAGAAAATGAAGGAAAGGGACCTCAGTTGAGAAAAAGGATAAATGAGTCATTTATTACACGTGAGTTTACAGAGGAAGAGGTTCTATTTCAACTGTCAAAAGTAAAGACAAATAAGTCAATGGGACCTGATGGAATACACCCAAAGCTATTAAAAGAGCTTAGTGGTGTACTAGCAAAACCATTAACAGATTTATTTAACCAATCATTGTTAACAGGAGTAGTCCCAGAAGATTGGAAGTTAGCGAATGTTGTGCCCATTTACAAGAAAGGTAATAGGGAGGAGTCGGGCAACTATAGGCCAGTAAGCCTTACTTCAGTAGTGGGGAAAGTGATGGAAACCATGTTAAAGGATAGGATTGATGAACATCTAAAACACATGGATTTCAAGATCAGAGACAACATGGGTTTACTTCAGGGAGATCATGCCAAACTAATCTTATTGATTTTTTTGATTGGGTAACTAAAATTATAGATCAGGGTGGTGCAGTAGACATTGCTTACCTAGATTTCAGTAAGGCTTTTGACACTGTTGCACATAGAAGGCTTATCAATAAACTGCAATCTTTAAGTTTGGATTCCAATATTGTTGAATGGGTAAGGCAGTGGCTGAGTGACAGGCAACAGAGGGTTGTAGTTAATGGAATATATTCGAAGCTTGGACTTGTCACCAGTGGGGTACCTCAGGGATCTGTACTTGGACCCATTCTCTTTAATATTTTTATTAGTGATATTGCAGAAGGTCTTGATGGTAAGGTATGTCTTTTTGCTGATGATACTAAGATATGTAACAGGGTTGATGTTCCAGGAGGGATAAGCCAAATGGCAAATGATTTAGGTAAACTAGAAAAATGGTCAGAATTGTGGCAACTGACATTTAATGTGGATAAGTGCAAGATAATGCATCTTGGACGTAAAAACCCAAGGGCAGAGTACAGAATATTTGATAGAGTCCTAACCTCAACATATGAGGAAAGGGATTTAGGGGTGATTATTTCTGATGACTTAAAGGTAGGCAGACAATGTAATAGAGCAGCAGGAAATGCTAGCAGAATGCTTGGTTGTATAGGGAGGTATTAGCAGTAGAAAGAGGGAAACGCTCATGCCATTATACAGAACACTGGTGAGACCTACACAGTACTGGAGACCGTATCTTCAGAAGGATATTGATACCTTAGAGAGGGTTCAGAGAAGGGCTACTAAACTGGTTCATGGATTGCGGGATAAAACTTACCAGGAAAGGTTAAAGGATCTTAACATGTATAGCTTGGAGGAAAGACGAGACAGGGGGGATATGATAGAAACATTTAAATATATAAAGGGAATCAACACAGTAAAGGAGGAGACTATATTTAAAAGAAGAAAAACTACCACAACAAGAGGACATAGTCTTAAATTAGAGGGACAAAGGTTTAAAAATAATATCAGGAAGTATTACTTTACTGAGAGGGTAGTGGATGCATGGAATAGCCTTCCAGCTGAAGTGGTAGAGGTTAACACAGTAAAGGAGTTTAAGCATGCGTGGGATAGGCATAAGGCTATCCTAACTATAAGATAAGACTAGGGACTAATGAAAGTATTTAGAAAATTGGGCAGACTAGATGGGCCGAATGGTTCTTATCTGCCGTCACATTCTATGTTTCTATGTTTCTATGTCCTTTAAAAAATAAAAACATCTATTGAGCTACAATCCAGTCAGCAAGACTGCAGCCATAGATATCGTGTTAAAGATATGATACAAAATAACTGCCAGACATGTACCTAACAAGGAACTAGAGTGAGAGACATCTAGATTCAAGATAGCATACTAGTTATATATAGCTAAGTACATATCCCTATCGTGCCCATGAGGGCACTCCTTAAAAAAAATTTGAAAGCCCCACTTCCTGCTTGACTCTGCTAATAGCGGAGGAGAGGATGCTTAAATACAAGGAAAATAATTGAAACAAGTGATTAGGAATACAAAGTATAGGGTGGCAATGAGAGCTATCAAAAATAAAGCTGCAACATCGTCCCAAATAAGTCGCCACCCTCATACACAAAAATCCTAACACGTGTTTCGCCTAAACTGGCTTTTCCAGGGGAACTGAGTGTTTAGAGTAGGAGGTTCAAATTTGGCACCCCCCAATGCCGATTGGATACAGCATGAGCCGATAATGCCATCTCATAGGCCATCTCAAAGGAGGAGTAATACGGGATGAAAATAATTAACCTCTAATCTGTACTTCTCTTTACCTCATATGTCTGGGGTTAACTCTGAGAAGTAGCGGAATAAGTAACCCATGGGGATAAGGTACTATATGTTTAGATGCATCTATTCAGAATGGTTGTATTAGTGTTAGGAAACATACATAAGTTATATTCATGACAAACTCGTACTCATTGTCCATTTTAGAGGAGACATGACAGCCTCCTGGAAAGAGGAGGGGTATGATATGAGAATAGTTAACCCGTTATTGGATAAATTAACCCATTATTGGTGACCAATGTGTGAAGTTGATCCCTCAAGGTTAAACGTATGTGTTGATGTTCAAACCCTACACTTGTTCAGTGCCCCTCCTAGTCTTTATATCAAGGGGCACCTACCAAAGTGTAAAAGGAAGTAACCCTTTCAGTGTGGAGTGCTATTGATATGAATACATCTAATGCGTGTATTGAACTGTTGGATAATATGCTAAATAGTCATTCATCCGTTATGTTGTTTCATAACTAATATTCATTAACCTAATACAGGTAAGGCCTTTACCCTGCTGTTTCTAGGTGGGGAGAGTTAATTCGCAAAGTATAGATAAAAGAATACTCTTAGTAATTGGATATGTAAATATATCAAAACTGCTAGATGTAATTCGAACTCCATAGAGTAAGAGTAAGAATTAATGAATTAAATAATAAGAAAACTGTACAGAAAATTAAAGATAAATGTCCTCTAATAATGGGATCCCAAGACATACAAAAACCTATAGCATGAGATCATTGCTTGTCTATGGGGATGAAAGGGTAATGTTTGTGTCCAGGTACAAGATATATTTACAAGTATATACAAGTTATTTTTTTTTATAAATAAATGTGCATTTTTTTCATATCAAACTTTTCCTTGTGGATTATCTGGGATCATCCATGTGTGCGGACCATTGTGTAAATATTGTGAGGCATTATTTTATTGTAAACTAAGACTCATTTATACAACACGAAGAGCTGCAAAATGTTATTATGTGAAGTTCTCATCAATTTATAGATATTCCAGTCTACCTGTTGCAACTCATTATACTAGTAGTACCAGATTTAATTAAATGTAACATCTTCAGCACAGGCATATTCTCTCTTGAGCCACATATCTGTTATAAAACAAATTGCAACTATTTAAAAGGCAAAACAATCAAAAGAAGGTTACAAGTGCTGGGTGATAATTATTACTGAATTGCAAGAGAAGAGGAACAGATTGAAGTAAGGACAGAGTAGCACAGAGCCTAAGGAATAGAATAATTAGGTACACATTTGTGATGTGATACCTTATTATTTTTGCTTAGGGTATCTTTCATCATTATAAAAGAATATTTACATATAATGACTGATATTTTGTACTCTTACACTGATCATTAAATTTTTCAATTCCTATATGTGTTTGTTTTTTGTTTTACCCTGTTTTTTAAAATGTAAAGGTCTAGGTCAGTGATGGCGAACCTTTTTGAGCCTGAGTGCCCAAACCACAATACATGCCAACTTGTTTTCCCTTAAAGTGCCAATATGGCAATTAAACCTGAATACTGAGGTTTAAGTTTAGCAAAATCAACTCATACAGTTGTCCGAACTAGTTACACCTTTTGTTTTAAAAGAAGAACACAACAGAGAATTCAATTATACACATTTTAAATAATGATATAAAGAGATAAAATTAAGCTTATATTTATTATCTCCAACAAATGTAATACATACACACAGACTGCTGAACACATTCACACACCGACTGCTTAATACATACACACACCGACACACAGACTGACTGCTAAATACACACACACAGACAGACTGCTAAATACACACACAGTCCCCTGAATACTCATACACTGCTGAATACACACACTGCTGAGTACATACACACACTGCTGAATACACACGCAGTCTGCTGAATACACGCGCAGTCAGCTGAATACACACACACTGCTGAATACATAAAAACTGCTGAATACACACACACATATACTGCATTGAAGGGTGCAGTGTATGTATTTGTGTGTAAGGGTGTGGAGTGCTGTGTGTGTGGGGTGCTGTGTGTGTGGGGGGTAGGGGTGCTGTGTGTTGGGGTAGGGGTGCTGTGTGTGTGGGGAGTAGGGGTGCTGTGTGTGGGGGTTAGGGAGCTGTGTGTGGAGGGGTAGGGGTGCTGTGTGTGGGGGGTAAGGCCCTTACCCCCCACACACAGCACCCCTACCCCCACACACATAGCACCCCTACCTCCCCACACACAGCACCCCTACCTCCCCACACACAGCACCCCTACCCTACCCTTACCGTAAGGGTAGGGATGCTATGTGTGTGGGGGGTAGGGGTGCTGTGGGTGTGGGGGGTAGTGGTGCTGTGTGTGGGGGGTAGGGGTGCTGTGTGGTGGGGGTAGGAGGGCTATGTGTGGTTGGGTAGGGGTGCTGTGTGTGGGGGGGTGTAGGGGTGCTGTGTGTGGGGGGGATTGAAGATACACTAAAAAAATTTTTTTTTTTTTAAAAGCGTATTGAATCAGTATCCCCCCCTCCCTTTTTCTTACCTTTGGTGAAGGGGAGGGGGGGAACAAAGCCATCCCTGGTGGTCTGGTGGTGGTAAGTATGTAGGACAGGAGGACAGGTCATTCAACTCTGTCCTCCCACGCGATGCTGTGTGGAGCGTGGAGGACGGGAGAACTGCTTCCGGTCCTCCCGACAAGAAAGCAGAGTAGGCGCCTGCCATTTTGGGCAGGCAGGTGCCTACTCTGCATTGATGGCGAACCTATGGCCGCGTGCCCATAGAGAGGGCCCGGCGTGCCACCTGTGGCACATGTGCCATAGGTTCGTCATCACTGGCCTAATACATCCATACATCCATATCCACACACTGCCTAATACATCCATGCATCCATAGCAGGCACGAGCGCATGCATGAAAAATACCTTTAGAGGTTTTGTTTGGCTATTTCTCCGTGAAGATACTTGAAGTCTCTTCTGAGGAAAATGGGGAAGTGTTGCAATAGTTGCAGTTCATAAGAACTAGGGCTTTTGCAAGCTAGTTCTTAAATGCATGTATGTAAACATTGGGTATATCTACTAAATAGTGGTTTGTTAAAGAAAAGGATTTTAAGTGTGGAATGGTGATTTTAAAGGGATACTCCAGACACCTAAAGCATGTTCGAAGAGTGTCATCTTTTTTTTTTTTGTATTTTACAAAAAGTGCATATTTCAATAGAAGTTGGTACATTTCTAAATTAACCTTTTTACACTCCCTTGTCTGTCAATCAGACAATGTGTTCTGTTACTTCCTGATGTGGCTAGTTCAGGGGAGCTAAATTCAAGAAGCAGCAATTGCCCAGAGCACCTGCAAAGGCTTCTCATTGAGCTGCATTGGGAAGTCTGTGATTGGACAGCCAATCGGGAAGTCTGGGTGGGGTTAGAAGGGGATGGCATGCAAAGGCTGCAGACAAGATATTGACAGCTTTGGCAAATTATTTTTCGATATACCCCCAATATCATCGGGGAAATGTCCACTAAACAGTTAGGCAGTGGAGAGTCCCTAAAGTTTGGTATTTACCTGGCTTAAAATATGTCTGTAGTTTACAAAAAATAAAGCTTAGGTTCTCTTTTCAATATTATTAATTATATAGAGCTGCATCTGCCGACGTGCTGTAGAATGGTTGGATAAGACATAGAAATTGCTGCAAAGTGACTTCTAGGAGCAAGAGGAGCTCTGGGAAACAAATAATCTAAAGACTATGCTTCCAACAATAAGAAAATGTACGGGTAAAAGCGATATAATATCATAGTAACAGTATGGATATGGACTCTTTAATAGAATAAAATATAATATTATGCTAGCAAGTCCACTATAGGAAATCATTACAATGTAGCACACACACATGCCTATGTATTGCAACAAAACCATGATTAGTTTCCGTCTGAACAAATCTGAAATAAATAAGCACTATCACTTGATGAAACCTGTCATATCAACCTTGAATACATCTCAGAGATCTTCTCATCCAAGACACAATGTTCTAGATCACTCACTTTTTTTAAGTTCTGCCTCAACTTCTTCAGCTCCCTGCTCAAGAGCACCTCAGCAATCATAGCACTTTGATATCCTCAATCCATCTGCAAAACCAGTGAGAGACTATTATTACTTACTTGGTTACATTACTCAGTTATATTCTACTGCTTTCCAGATTCAAACTAGAATTAGTGACATATATATATCCCTAAGTAATACTGCTCTTTGTCCCCTCATATATCCCTACCCTCACCAAAAATCTCTGCCTTCATCATCCTATAACCTCTTAACTGATGGCCCTGTTAATGCGAGTTCACACAAATTGGTGAATTAAGAAATAGCATGCTTACTGCATTAAAAAGCTATGTATGTTCTAAAAATATAAATAGGGATGGCAGTAAAAACATTCTCACCAACTATTCTGCTACAAGACCTGGAAATCGCTGTTCTAGAAAGAAAACTTCAGACGCCATTAGCTCCTCCATCTTTAGAACACACAAATGTCTCAAGTAGCTGAGTTTTTCTGCTAATAAAAGTATGAGCTACTCGGAATGCATTCAGTATAAAACTTTTCATGAATTGTTAGAGTTCTGTAAACTCTCATGAGATTCTTATCATGAAATGATCTTTGGAAGGTGCATGATACTTAACTACAAAACCCAAAGAGGCTCTCCTGGGTGGAATAAAACTCTTAGCAATGGCACAGTGAATTTTCCTAAAACTGCCTGTGTACTGTGTCGCACATCAGCCTTTCAGCTCTGTTATTTATCTGTTTTTCTACTGCAACATTTCTCCGTTGACTAATGAGGCGGTAGCTTTAAATTTGGTATCTTAAAAAAATCAAGATGTTTGTTGAAACAATACCGTAAATGATAAACTAAAATTTGTGTAAAAATGTCACTCGATGGCACACATTTTTGTTTGTGCACTAAACATTCAAACGAGTAATGATTTCCTTGTGATATACCATAACTCACTTTAAACAGTGCCATTCGATTGAGGCTAAACTCCTGGAATCACTCTTGATTTTCTCCTTAGGGATGATATAATTTTGCTTTTTCTTTTAAAATGGCAGTAAAAAAATATTTGATATAGGGATTGCAACTGTCAATCAGACAATGTGTTCTGTTACTTCCTGATGTGGCTAGTTCAGGGGAGCTAAATTCAAGAAGCAGCAATTGCCCAGAGCACCTGCAAAGGCTTCTCATTGAGCTGCATTGGGAAGTCTGTGATTGGACAGCCAATCGGGAAGTCTGGGTGGGGTTAGAAGGGGATGGCATGCAAAGGCTGCAGACAAGATATTGACAGCTTTGGCAAATTATTTTTCGATATACCCCCAATATCATCGGGGAAATGTCCACTAAACAGTTAGGCAGTGGAGAGTCCCTAAAGTTTGGTATTTACCTGGCTTAAAATATGTCTGTAGTTTACAAAAAATAAAGCTTAGGTTCTCTTTTCAATATTATTAATTATATAGAGCTGCATCTGCCGACGTGCTGTAGAATGGTTGGATAAGACATAGAAATTGCTGCAAAGTGACTTCTAGGAGCAAGAGGAGCTCTGGGAAACAAATAATCTAAAGACTATGCTTCCAACAATAAGAAAATGTACGGGTAAAAGCGATATAATATCATAGTAACAGTATGGATATGGACTCTTTAATAGAATAAAATATAATATTATGCTAGCAAGTCCACTATAGGAAATCATTACAATGTAGCACACACACATGCCTATGTATTGCAACAAAACCATGATTAGTTTCCGTCTGAACAAATCTGAAATAAATAAGCACTATCACTTGATGAAACCTGTCATATCAACCTTGAATACATCTCAGAGATCTTCTCATCCAAGACACAATGTTCTAGATCACTCACTTTTTTTAAGTTCTGCCTCAACTTCTTCAGCTCCCTGCTCAAGAGCACCTCAGCAATCATAGCACTTTGATATCCTCAATCCATCTGCAAAACCAGTGAGAGACTATTATTACTTACTTGGTTACATTACTCAGTTATATTCTACTGCTTTCCAGATTCAAACTAGAATTAGTGACATATATATATCCCTAAGTAATACTGCTCTTTGTCCCCTCATATATCCCTACCCTCACCAAAAATCTCTGCCTTCATCATCCTATAACCTCTTAACTGATGGCCCTGTTAATGCGAGTTCACACAAATTGGTGAATTAAGAAATAGCATGCTTACTGCATTAAAAAGCTATGTATGTTCTAAAAATATAAATAGGGATGGCAGTAAAAACATTCTCACCAACTATTCTGCTACAAGACCTGGAAATCGCTGTTCTAGAAAGAAAACTTCAGACGCCATTAGCTCCTCCATCTTTAGAACACACAAATGTCTCAAGTAGCTGAGTTTTTCTGCTAATAAAAGTATGAGCTACTCGGAATGCATTCAGTATAAAACTTTTCATGAATTGTTAGAGTTCTGTAAACTCTCATGAGATTCTTATCATGAAATGATCTTTGGAAGGTGCATGATACTTAACTACAAAACCCAAAGAGGCTCTCCTGGGTGGAATAAAACTCTTAGCAATGGCACAGTGAATTTTCCTAAAACTGCCTGTGTACTGTGTCGCACATCAGCCTTTCAGCTCTGTTATTTATCTGTTTTTCTACTGCAACATTTCTCCGTTGACTAATGAGGCGGTAGCTTTAAATTTGGTATCTTAAAAAAATCAAGATGTTTGTTGAAACAATACCGTAAATGATAAACTAAAATTTGTGTAAAAATGTCACTCGATGGCACACATTTTTGTTTGTGCACTAAACATTCAAACGAGTAATGATTTCCTTGTGATATACCATAACTCACTTTAAACAGTGCCATTCGATTGAGGCTAAACTCCTGGAATCACTCTTGATTTTCTCCTTAGGGATGATATAATTTTGCTTTTTCTTTTAAAATGGCAGTAAAAAAATATTTGATATAGGGATTGCAACTGTCAATCAGACAATGTGTTCTGTTACTTCCTGATGTGGCTAGTTCAGGGGAGCTAAATTCAAGAAGCAGCAATTGCCCAGAGCACCTGCAAAGGCTTCTCATTGAGCTGCATTGGGAAGTCTGTGATTGGACAGCCAATCGGGAAGTCTGGGTGGGGTTAGAAGGGGATGGCATGCAAAGGCTGCAGACAAGATATTGACAGCTTTGGCAAATTATTTTTCGATATACCCCCAATATCATCGGGGAAATGTCCA